CCCATCGCCCCCTATCCGAAAAAAAAAAAAAAAAAAAAAAAAAAGAAAAGAAAAGCTTTTTTGAACCAAGGAAGGAAAAAAGGAACTAATGAACATACAAGTTGCAGTGAGCGCATAGCTGGAGATGGAAACGGGCAAGTTTTCCAAATGAAGCCATTGAAATGTGTGTTTTCTCTTTTATTTATTGTTTAGAGCTCCAGAAAAAAAATTGCAAGTCAAGAAAAAGCCTCCCCTTAGGGAAATCAGCAAAAGAGAAAAAGGGAATTTGAAAAAGGATAGAAGCAGCTAATAGCATGAAAAAGCTCACAGCCATTGCTATAAAAAGACAGAAGGGGGCAGCAGGTGGCATGGTGGTTAAGGCATTGGACTCCCACATGGCCGACTGTGGTTCAACTTCTAGACCTGGCGGCTTGAAAATCACATTAGCGGGACCAGCAGTTAGCATAATGGCTATGTTGCTGGACTCCCATGCAGTCGACCGTGGTTCGAGTCTCGGACCGGGAGGCTTAAACTCACACCAGGCGCGTATGTGTGCGTGCCCAAGATCCTGAGAGGAGAATGGAGGAGAAGGGATTATGGCGTGGCCATCCCCCAGGGGGGTGATTTCTCGCTTTCTGTGTCTCTGTCTCTTTCTGTCTGTCTGGCGAGCGCAGGCGCCCTATCGCCTTATAGCAAAAACCTCTCAAAAAAAAAAAAAAAAAAGAAAGAAAGAAAAGAAAGAAAATCACATCGGTGTGTGTGTGTGCGTGGCGTGCCCCACATCTGGAAGAGAGATCGGAGTAGGAGGGACTGCAGCGAGGCCATCTTGAGTAATTTCTCACTTTCCCAATCTCTGTTCTTCTCTGTCTCTCTCCTGCTAGGGCACACACCCTGTAGCAAAAGCCTGGGGGGGAAAAAAAACAGACAGAGAGAGAAGAATTATGGGAATGAGATAACAATTGATGAACTCACCTTTTTTTAATTAAAAAAAATCATTTCTTTATCTAATTTTATTTGTTATTATTATTTATTTTTTAATTTGACCAAAGAGGCAGAGAGAGAGAGAGAGAGAGCAGAATGATGAGAATGGGATAACAATTGATCCTTAACTTCTCCAAACAACACTAAACACTCAAAGCTTCTGGTGGGGGAGAAGAGGAACTGGGTGTGTCTATGCGCTGAGAAAACACAGAGACACCACTTTGCCCCCCTCCCCCCACCCCCGTCTCTCTCTGGTGAGCCCACGTGCCCCATAGCAAGTTAAAAAACAGTATAATAACAGTGGTGAGCTCTGGCAAAGGTAAGAGAGGCTTTTTTTAAAAAAAAATAACTATTTTATTTATCTTTATTTATTTTAATTTGACCAGAGAGGGACAGAACGAGAGAGAGAGAGAGAGAGAAAAATGGAGAAAGCAAACTGCCAGATCCGGGACTCGAACAGTGTTCAGCCATGCGGGAGTCCAGCGTCCCTAACCACCATACCACCTGCCCGTTCTTTTCCTCTCTCTCGCTTTTGTATTTTCATATTAAGTATCACTTTTCGGCCAAACCAAGCTTTGCATGGAGTACCTCGAGCCCGCGTGGGGTTCGGGCGGACGCAGAGCCTCCTGGGGACCGCTAGGTGGCGAGAACAAAGGCGCAGAGCCGCCGCGGGCGTGCGTCGGGCGGGGCCTCGGACAGCGTCCAAGGGCGGGGTCGGCCTGTCCGGTCCACTTCCCTCGACCCGGCGGTGGGCGGAGCAGCCATGGGCTCGCC